TTGGTTACCTAATTTAAAAAACAACAACAATCTTTGATGCTCCAAAAATGTATTTCGAAGGTTTCAAAAGGGAAGGCAGGACGATTTCGGTTGGTTGGTTCAAGCACGATCTCGCGGCTCAAGGGCTGCGATTTCTCTCAGAACCTGACTTTTGTCTGCTTCAAACCGCTCGTCCTCTGCCAACAAGATGGACCAAACAAAGCATTATTAAGGAGACGGATCAGATACAAAGCGTGTCGACACTTAACAGGAATCTCATCATACCTTTGTCTGGTTTCAAATCAGCCAATAATCTCAGAAGCTTGCTTCTGTTTGCCACCAGAATGTTGACTATATCTCCAGGCTTGTTTTGATTTGCTACAAACAGCTGTACAACAGCGATGATAATCTCAGTAGAATTACACATTTAACAAGCCAGGACAATCATCATCACAAATGATGATCATGTTTAAGTCAAGATCTAAGGAATGTACCTTGAAAACATGGAATGCTTCTATCTGGATACTCTTGCTCGACTCCTGTAATCCAAAGAGATTTGAGTTTATTTCCCAAACTATTATCATCAAGAACAAAATATTGAGGGTGGTATTCGGGTAAAGCATCATACTCTCAGAAGATTCATGAGAATCCTCAAGTTATCCATTGAGCTCGCATATTTTGTCATCACAGCTGAATTTGATCGATCCAGTAATATATCACCCAACAACTGTTGACGTTTACATGATACAGAACATCAGACAGATCAGCCACTACTGTAATTTCAATGTTTTCAACTAGTCGTGTAAGTTACTCTACCTTAATAGCTTGCCGTCTGGTTATATAATTACTTGATTCAAGAAGCTTTGAGTTGTAGTCCGCGAAAAACTGCAAACCAAAAAGTTTGAGAATTATACTAGTCTAACGCAGGACCTTCGGAACATAAATCATAATGTTCCGCCTTCAAGCATAAATTTATGATCCGTAATGTTGTTAGAAAAGAACTTACCCAGTCTTCGTTCTTGGTGAGAAACTCGGCAACGGTAGACTTATGCCTTGTCAGCAGTTCCTGTGACAACATACAGGGTTGGAGTTATGATTGCATGTTTGACACTTGATAGTGCCAAAAAGGAAAAGATTTAAGCGAAAATGCAAGCTTATTGCAGTATTTTGGAAACCTTAAAAGTTGCAGCAGCATCGGCAGCAATATCGAAATTAGGAAGCTGAATGTAATCGAAGAACTTCTTCACATGCTCAGACTCCAAAACATATCTGAATCCAAAGAGATTATGTTAGTAGACCCATTGTCGCTCTCTGAACCAATAATTACTTCACGGGTTGAAAATTGAAGAAAGTGAAATGATCTGCTTACTTGGCAACAACCTGATGGCGGATGCACTCCCTAAACATAGCACCATAATGTAAAGCCATGTCTGTGTTCTCGAAGCTGACACAAAACATTGAAAGCAATATAAACCAATAGCACGAGGAATCTCTTAATTTGGAATCTACCGACAGACTGCTAATCGCAACTTCAATTAATATGAATTAATATGATTCGGCCATAAACGGTAACACTCACCCTTCTATCAGAATATCCATGAGATCGATATTGGCTTCTAGATAATCAGACGCAATCAAACGTGAATTAACTTGTTGCCTCTGTAGATTTGCAACAACTTGTGTAGCATCTTTCCTGGTCTAATAAAAAGGACACAGATTTTGCAATTCAACCATACGATATCCTCGACCTTTATCACACACACAAAAAATGCTCTCTTCCTAGAGGGAAATCTAGAGACTGAATATGTTACCTCCAAGTTGAGTTTGGGAAGACATGTAATCAAGAGGCGTAGAGTATCCTCTTTAAAGAATTCTTGAGTCAATTGTGCACAAGCTTCAGCTACAGGCTCAGCCTCGCTGTTTCCATAGAGAATCGACTTCATATCACGGATATTCCGGCTTAGTTCCGCCATCTACAAGCAAAATATCAACCTAGCCCATTAAAACTACCATTCCAACAATCATAAAAACGAGAACAATCCAAGCAAAATTCAACAAATCCATGGAAGAAATTGCACATGATTGAATCAACCAGAGCACGAAATGCCATAAAGAGAATGCGAATTAATCATGATTAGGGTTTGCAGATACGAATATAACGAAGATTAGCGAGGCATATAAGGGAATGAAATTGGGGGAAAAAAAACCTTTTCCTCGCGTTTGGATTCTCGAAGGTCAGGCAAAGAGTTAGATCGATCGACGTAGAGAAGGAGATCGCGCGTCTGTCGGACAAGGTCAGCGGGAGTACGAGGTTTGGACTTGAAAAGACCTTTCATCTTCGCACCGCCGATATCGGATGGATCCGATGGTTCACCGGCGTA